CGGACTAGGTGCGTTTCTTTAAGTCTTCCTACCAATATGACCGAGTTGCGAAAACAAGGTCAAACAACATGTATACAACGAAAGGAGACTGCGACCACACAAAAGGCCACACCATCTTGGTCTTTATACCTTCGATTAAACTAACTTAAAGTTGCTATAGCAATTGACGACATTACTTATTTTTCGTTTTGAGTAGGTATTTAAGACTAACAGTAAATCAAATATATGAGCTGTGTTTATCATATTTCGTCTCGTGACGTGGTTGCTAACGTGTCGAGATTATACGCCGCATTTTCGTAGTTCGAGTCTCGTTGGGGGTGTTGATAAGACCTTTTCGAGGTCAAGACTGCAGTCCATTACTGCCTGGATGAGAACGCTTTTTGGTAAAGCAAGGTCATGTGAAATTCAATAAGAACGTCATGTCTACTCATAGCATTGCGGGAAATTCAACTGCAACATTTTCATCACCTTAAACGAAATGGAGTCAACGCGACTCATATTTCTGATTTACTGATAGTCTCGAAAACCTACTCGAAATGCACAATTTCATAGGTCCGTTTGTAAGATTGCGACTGATCACAGGCCCGAAAAATTGAAATTTAACTAGATTTTAATACCTTGTCAGGATAAATTACTGCTTACGGTGCGAGGGATCCGCAAATACATTTGAAAGGATTTATTTCCCTAAGGCAGGATAAGTTTAGATTATGCATATGAAAATTTTGGATTTGGCTGTTGCTGTGCGGAACGTAATAGCAAAATCATACCTAAAGCCAAAGTAGACATATTCTCTTTCTTGGCAGTTTACTCCTTGCCTTTTATGTGGTTGTCACCTAATCTTCTACATTCACCTCTTTTATTCAACATACCAACCCAGCAATCCTTTCAAATAGGATTGCGCAACTGCAAAGCATATCACTTGCAAAGTCCTGTACCATGCTCACCTTGTCAGATTCGCTACGCAGATTGGAGCGCAAAGAATTCACTTCCGCGAGTTCCTTCTCCAAGTGGCGACAGCGCTCTTTGATACGTTTGTTCTCCTGCTCCGCCCGTTCTGCTCGACGTTGTGCAGCCTGAAGGCCAGCGTCGTCTCTAACTTCCTTAACCTCGACCGCTTTCTCCTCCATCCAGTTGAGTGCCTTTCAGCAGTGGAGATGAATAATTAAAGCAGAGAATTTAGTCAAATTTCCTATGAATATTCCTCATTTCAAAAATCGAGCTGTTGATGCTAAACCCTGCCGCTAGATGTCAACAGGATTACCAAGGCAAAATTGAGGAGTATCCATATCAACGAAATATAAATGGAACAAATGTATTTAAAGTTTACTTTTCTTTAGTTATGCAGAGATAGTGGAATTCTCCGCAATTAAATGAGAAGATCTTGTCTCCCGTAAAGTTTTCTCATTCAGATTGGACTACAATTCCAACATGAAGAGCAAATGGGTTTCGATTAATCTCATGAGATTGCTTAGACTTTCAACGAGATGTAACCGTCCTCTTCTGGTGAGATGGACCTTAGAATCTCTTCTTCATATACTTTCATACGAAATGAAATTCCAAGCAATAATTCAATCCCGACATCTTGGCAGCCCATTACCACTCCACCACACAGCCTCGGACGCCCGGGGTATCTGGACAAATACGTGTTTCTAGGCAATCCAGGAGCTGCCCAAATAACATTTATGTTGGGATCATTAACCAATAATGTATATTTTCCATTACAATCTGTTTCCATAGGTTTTGATTGTATCATAGTTACACAGAACAAATGTAATTTAACCAAAATATTTGATCCGCTTTACACACCAACTCGATTTCTCTAACAAAATGGAAAGCTTAGACAAATATGAAAATGTTATTTTTGAAGTACATTCCAGTCTTCTGGGCTATTTCGACCAAATTACAATCTAGTTTGAGTCGTCTTGTAGTGTTTATGAGGCATTTGAATGGTTGTTATGTTCGAGTGCGTCCTTGCATGCATGTTTATTGAGTGATGATCTTGAGAGCACAAAAGCAGCAATAGCTTTGCTTGCTTCAAAATATGGCGTCACGCAATTGCAGCCTCCAATTTCTATCTTACGCCCAGCTGACTGCCTTCCCGAAGGGTTACATAGTCTCTTCTGAACGGCATCCACCGGGCCTGGATACTCAAAGGCAAGGAAATTATTCATTTGAGGTGAATAATCGTCAGACTCATTAATCTCAGCCACATTAACCAACTGTCCAGATGCCTACCAAGCTGACTTTGCTGTAGCAGCGTGAAGAACGGCGTATGCATTTGTTGTTGGGAGGAGAAACGTGAAATTCAAGAGAATTAGCGAAATTTTCTGGCAAAATCAACGTTCTCAAACCTTGACGCCCTAAGCAACCAAGAATTTGTTTAGGCTCTAACTCTAAATTCAACGATAACTTAAAGATCGTCTCGCTCGTATTTATTTCGACTGCTATTCCGCTTAAATTTGATGATACTCATAAAAGATATTTTCATTACTAGTAGCATATAATATATTAAAGATTACCATATTACAATATACATATTATCATATGAAAATTAATTTCACAGATAATGGGGAGTTAGGTGAAAATAGGACAAATAGCATTCCCATTTTCATATCTACTATAGCATCATTTGTCATCGCCTACTTCAATTCGCCGACCTTTGATCGCGTTTAAAATTGTGTACTACCTTATGGAAACCTAGCTTGCAGTAGTTCTTATTGCTGTGAATTTCTCACAAAAGAGGCGGCTTTACTTTCATCCTATAAGCATCATTTTATAAAACCTCCAGACAGTCGGCCACAAATAGCGGCTTCTGGGGCACTCAGAAAGGCACACTTTCTGCATGTATTTCATTCGGTGGCGAGAAGACCTGGATGTCTTGGTGCTCTCTTTCCTGATAGCCGAGGAGTCCAGAACGAAATGACTGGAGGACTCAACTTTGTCGTCAAGACAGCTCCAGACGTCCTGTTAAAAAGACCCACTTAGTAATTCTGGCCGGGTTGTCGTAGCCTCAGAATCGTCCACGTCGACGAGCGGACAAGTTGCCGATTGACGCCACAAGCTAGGCGCCCGAAGGTGACGCAAATACTCCTCCGTTGTGGCTTAGAATGGGTATGCGATGCGGCAAAAGCGTCACCGAGCTCTCAGGCTGCTGACTGGGTGAGATAGTTAGCCATCTGGCCAATAAACAACAAAAATATCATTTTTACACATCTAAAGATTTGGGATTGATCAGGGATCTTTGGATTCACTACTCATAGAGGAAACGTGAATGGAATGTCAAAAAAGCTCTTTTTTTCAGATATAAGTATTTTCATTGTATCAACATAGTCTGAAGAGTAAGAGGTATCTAAGGGGGGCAGAATTGTGTTTAGCAAGCTCTGCATCAGCAAATTTCTGGCAATCATTGGCCTCAGGAATCGTTATCTCCCCACGTTTACACATAAGCCCTCCTGCTCGTCAACACTTGCTCCTCGTAGGTCATGTCTCACACAGCAAAATAGAAGACCAGTTGATTTTAGTTAATTATTGAGCTTACTTCCATTTCAAATGAAAGTGTTTGGTGAAGAGATTCGAAGGTCAC